ACGTGAAACTAATATAATATATATACAATATTCAAAAAATTAAATCCTAAATGTTCATATAAAATTGTGGGATTAGATATAAATAATAAAGTGAAATTCAATGTAACAAACTGTTTATTGAAAATTACAATGTGATCACAATAATTTTTGTGTAACAAGTTTAGCAAATCCTTCTTAATACTCTAAAAACTCATTAAAATATTTTTAAAAATTGTGTTTAAGGTAAATAAATATTTGCGCTACACAATTTTATTAAATGCAAATTTGAATAGTCATGAAAATAACAGTTTGTTGATTTTATTTTCCTGTCATCACATCAAATTATAATGTTATAATTTAGAACAAGTCAATATGCTTCGAGAATTGGATTATCATTGCTGATGACGATGATTGATAGGAATAGTATTATTCAGCTTTTAGTGGCTCCAGAATCCGGTTGTAAAGAAATTTTTTTAAATTTCAAACACATCCTGACGTAAATAGATTTGCAAAATCTAAATGGAGTTTCAATTGTATTCGTTCACAAAATCAAAATCTGTTTAGAACAAAATCCTATATGATCCGACCCCAGCAATTCATAAGTCTAAAAATACTTAATGAAGGGAGATAAAATTTAGTTTGATGGGAAAACATATAATTTCAAAAATTAAGCATCTCGTGTCAATTAAAATTATTCCTGTAGTAAGTAACAGACTTGTAATAATTCTAGTAATTTCTATTATTATTCTTTTTCTATATTTTTCGGTTCTAAAATATCACGCAAACATCAATTCTCAATAGATTTTGTTATTGAATTATTTCAAAGAGAGCGAAGAAAAAGTTCTCCTTGTCAAAAATCACCCACTATAAATTGTATCCTTACTTTTTTTTTTGCCATCTGTTCCGCTCTGAATATTATTGTTTGCATCGAATAGAGGTTATTATTTCTTTATTTTATTTTTTCTTTTTGAGAGAAAAATTTCTGTTCGAATTGAGAGAAATGATTCGATATATAATAATTTATTTAAAGGGAAAAAAAAGGAAAGAAATACATTTCTAATGAAAGGAAAGTGTTGTTGATTTGAAAGAGATCCTTTTTTTCCATCTGGGTGTGGCGCCTTTCTTTTGTGTCGCATCTATATAAGACACAAAGATTCTCTCTCAAAAACAACTTCTTCGTTGTTGACTTCTGCCACTGAACTTGATCCATCATAATTCTTTTGCGGTTATCTCCGAGAGTTATTACGCTGCTTTGTGACACAAAAGCCTCGTTTTCTCTTATATATATATATATAGTTTCCTGTTTAACCGCTTGACTAATCACGACGTGATGTGCACCTCACGTGCATGTTTTTAACTTCTTACGATCACTTTGAAATCAGACTTGAAATCTTTAAACTTTTAATTACCGTTAATCTCGTAATCGAATCTACTTTAGTTATACAACTCTCATATACACGCATACTTGCGCCATCCTCTTCAAAAAGTTTTCATGATATATATATATATATATATTGGTTGGATATTGCTTTCAAAGAAGTTTCTAATTGATCTTCCCTATAATAGAAGTGCTTATTAAAGTTTTAATTTATTGTACTTAGTTTTTTTCCTCACACTAATTTCTTAAAATTGACAAGTTAAACTGTCGATTTTAAAGAAATGGAGAAACGGTGCAATTTATAATTTTTCTTTTTTTATATACAACATGTTGCATAAATTCTATGGATCACTAGGCTAGTTATTTATTAAACTTCAAATATAGGATCTTTGAATTTTATACTATTTCACAAAAGAAATATATAACTTTCTCGTTGGGCGAAGTGAAAGCATTACAGTGCTAATGAATCTTACATTTTTCGTTTGAAATTCGTATAGTGTTTAATTAAAAAAATTTTTTCCTCTATTTTTAGTTTCTATACTTTTTGAAAATCCAGAAAAGAATTCGAAGTTGAATGGAGATTTCCTTCAGATTTTTTTTTTACATTTCCTATACTAAATCCTAAAGAAATATTCATCGGGAATAATTATCAGAATTCGGACAGAATCTCCTGTAGTTTATAATTTTTTCTGCAAGAAACTAAAAAAGGAATAACAAAGGAAATTATTATTGAAATTCCTACATGATTTCCATAAAGTTCTTAAGGAAATATTTACAAATTACAAATGCTGGAACCCTTTTGAAGATATATAAAAAATTAATTGCTACACTGTTAATGTCTTAAGGCGTTGGCTTATCATATATATAAGTAACGTTCCGGTTTTCAAAAAGTCTCACATGAGTAACTATCGACAATCTTAATTATTAAATTCAGCTGATGAAGGCACTACTTCCTTGGAAGCGTTATACACGATCATTTTCAGACATGCATCGATTATTCGTGATTCTGAAACTACCACTACCATTACTGTGATCATACACACAATTCTCCTATGTCCTTTGTCTGTAAATTAGCTCTCGCAGCTGCGGTGTATTTACTAAAGTTAAGGGGGATATTAAAACTTGTACAGTTTGTTGCCCCCATGTTTGAAAATTATAATCAAACTAATTGTGAACACTTGTTGTTGAAGATCGTGACGTCCACTATATTGGAGATCCCCGAGAGGTCCCAAGAAATATATATACTATATAACGTAACACACAAGTTGATCGGGATTCTTGTCTGTCGACCAATTACGTGCAATGGAAAGCAAACTATATACATCTCACAGTGAAAACAAAACTTACTGTATTAGTATATAGAAAAGAGAATCAGGTCAATGGGATTCTGATTCGTTTTTTGTCTTAATCAGAAAAAGAGAGTAATTCACTTTAGTTTAGACAATTATTGTATTTTTGTCTAGAATTATATTGGACAAGGACTGAAAATTTTAGAAACTCTTGTTTTTCTATATCGGAAATTTATTATTGATGTCGAAATACAATTTTGTCAAATTTAAATCAAAAAAATTAATTTAAGAACATGCAATATCGTGTAGTCAAATTATAATTTGGAAAAAAAATTTAAATTTATTAGAAAATAATTGCAGAAGGTTGCTTAAGGCTGTTAGTTAAGGCTCCCATTTCTATTGTATTGAATAAACTAATTTTAAAACAACAAAAAAAGCATTCACTTTTTCTACATAATAATTTCTGTCTAAATTGATTAATTACTGTAATAGAGAAATAATAATTGAAAAAAATTTATCAGGTCAATTAAATGGATTCTTAGAACATTGATTTGGATTTGAATAAACATAAAAATATAGAGACAATATATGGATCATGCAATGGTTATTAATTATTATTATTAAAGTAAATTATTTAGTGAGCATTGGTTCAGAGCATCTGTGGGATGTATAGAAAAGACTGACAATGAATACCCGGGCAAGTGAAGTCAACGAAGCATAAATGCAAAGAAGAAGATGGTTATAGGCATTCTATTTGCTTTTACAGATACACACGTGTTTTTGTGTATATGTATATATATAGTCGCAAGAATAGCCCAACAATATTATTTCATGCAAGAAAGTTCGCTGATTTCACTTCTAGTCTCGGATGCTTTATTGCAATAAATTGCGATTGTCGCTCCGATAATAAGGCTGAAGTTGATAATTGTTGAAAAAAATAGTTTATTGTGTAAGAATTGAAATTCCATCAGGGAAAACTTAGAATTAATGAAATTAATTTTTAAAATGTTCCATCAGTATAGAAATTTGCAAAGCAAATTAAAAAAAATAATTTTAACTTTATGAAATTATTTTAATATAAAAAGTAGTCGAGAAATATTTTTTTTATCTCCATTAGTAAAATCTGATCCTGAAGTTTGTAACTAAATTTTTATTCTAAAAATAAAATAAAATTTTATATATATTAAATAATTTCAATTAATTAATTCGATTGTTTAATTTAGTTCTGTAATTTAATTAATTCGATTAATTAATTCAATTAACTAATTAATTCAATTAATTCTTCGGTTAATTCGATTAATTACTTCAATCAATAATTTAATTGAATTGAATTAATTCACTCAATTAATTAATTCGGTTGATTCATTTGTTTAATTAATTCATTCCATTAATTTATTTAATTCATTCATTCCATTAGGTCATTCAATTAATTCATTTGGTTAATTAATTCAAGGGGTTTATTTATTTGATTAATTAATTCGGATAATTAATTCCTTTGACGAATTTATTTATTTAATTAATTCATTCGGTTCATTTATTTAATTAATTACTTAGAATTATTAATTCATTTAATAAATGCCATTGTTTAATTTAGTTATTTAATTTAAATAATGGATTCAATTAATTAATCCGGTTAATTCATTTGTTTAATTAATTCATTCCATTAATTTATTTAATTAATTCATTCCATTAGGTCATTCAATTAATTCATTCGGTTAATTCATTCAATTAATTCAAGATATTTATTTATTTGATTAATTAATTCGGTTAATTAATTCCTTTGACAAATTTATTTATTCAATTAATTACTTAGAATAATTAATTCAATTAATTAATGCGATTGTTTAATTTAGTTACTTAATTTAATTAATGAATTCAATTAATTAATTCGGTTAATTCATTTAATTTATTTATTCCATTAAGTCATTCAATTAATTCATTCGATTAATTAATTCGGATAATTAATTCGATTGATTAATTAATTCACTCATTTAATTAATTCGATTGTTTAATTTAGTTACTTAATTCAATTAATGAATTAAATTAAATCAGTCTATTAATTAATTCAATTAATTCATTAATATCGTTAAAATGCCAAAGTTAATTTATTAATTAATTTTTTTATGTACGAAAAAATTCATTAGAGGATAGACATATTGAAAGCAGCCAAATGATTAGCTAAATTCTCTTTACATGTCTACGGTTTTATCCCACTATTATAAAAATTCAAGTTCACCATTGGAAACTTTTTACATTGGCTGAAATTGTTTACATTTATTGTTATTTTTTATATTTAACTTTTGATAAATTGCTCCTAGATCGAATTTTAATAAATTTTTTTCTTCTGATTACAGCAGTGTGGCAGTGGAACGACCGATGGCGTTGTAGTGAGTGCAGGTGGTGGTATGGATTGCATACCCCTGCGTCCAGGGCCATTTCACTATTTGATAAACGAGCAGGCCAAATCCCTGGTAGCGCTCCAGGAGCTGCAGAATGAGGTCGGTGCTCTTCTCGAGTTTCGGGACCTTGTCATCGAGACTTTCCCAAACCTCAGGCACAAGATGGCGGTTTCGGCGACAACTTCTAGCTCGGCGAATGCATCCGTAATGTCATCGACGCAAAGTTCACACATTCCCTTACCATTGTCCAGTCCATCATCACGTAGAATAAGCGATTGGGAACCAGGAAAAGTAAGACGACGAGCGCCAAGAGAAGGTGAAACTTCAGCAACTTCATCATTACCACGTAGTCGTAGTAATTCCCACAGTGGTGGTAATAAGAATAGTGCAACTGTTCAAGATTCTGGCTTCAGTACGGAGACTTCTTCCAAGGATAGTGCCTCAACGGCAATACCAAGACCACCTAGTCCACGTCCAGTATTGGATGAGGCCGAAGATGAATTATGGAATCTCTTAGATGTTATTCATCGAAAGGGTATAAGACTTAGAGAGGAAGTTGAAAGTCTTCAGGGTCGTTTGGAGAGTGTAGCGTCAGAGGACTTTGGTCTCTCGGGTGATGTTTTAGAGGCTGTGAAAAGAGTCACTGGATCGGAGGAGGATGATGATGTTATTGACAGGATTACGGGTGAAAAAGATTCTGAGGTGGCTGAATTGCAGAGAGAGAAATTACAACTTTTGGATAAAGTCGCAGAACTTGAAGCTGAGACAATTTCAAGTCGAGCTCGAGCTCAGGAACTTCAATCCGAATTGGCGGCTCTCTCGGCTATTAGAACTGGACTTGAGGATCATCTACGTGCTGGAACTTTGGATGGATCTTACGCGATACATGCGCCTGGTGCGCAGAGGATACTACCAATTTCACCAGTCATTACAACATCATCGCCTAAAAGTAACATTAATATTAGAAGCAAGGGATCAGCTTTTGCCTCTGTATTACCCACAAAGGCACAGAAAAATAGGTTTAGAACAAGGACTATAGAAAAAAATGTTGTGGCCAATGTGGTTGCTAGGTCTATTGAGGACTTGAATGTAGAAGCTAATGTTAACGATAGGAGAGCAAGACTGGGAGCACTGGATTCCGTGCTCATTTCACCCACAAGGGTGGCTAACGTTAGAGATGTCGATTCAAAGAAAATCGCCGCTATACTCAGGGAGCATTCGCCTCTTGAATTACAGCGGCACCTTATCACAACAACCGTCCATAATCAGGTGAATTATTCTTTATTCTCTTTTTATAATGAATCATCCATTTATTTACTGATATTAGAAGGAAGTTTCATTCCCATTTGTAATTTTGTTCAGGAAAAAATACTTAGGTTCCTTTTATTTTCACAGGCCTTACAAAAGAGACTGGACGAAGTTGAAAAAAGTACTGAAACACTCTCGGTAAGATTAGACAAAGCCCGGGAGGAAAACGATGATCTTAGATTTCAAGTAAGTTAATCAATTAATTACCTCATAAATCCCAATCAGTGGGAATTACAAAAATATCCTTTTTTTAGCTCGCGGAACGAAACATCGAATTGGAAGGAACACGAGCCAGAGTTCGTGTTCTAGAACGGTTTCAGCAACGTCCGTCCACTGAAGGTGATTCCAATGCCGATACGGAATCAGAATTATTGCCAAGATGTGAGCAAAATTGTCCCGAGCCAGGAAGTAGTACAGAATCATCTCGTGATCATCATCAAGCTGTTGAAGTAAAGCCATCGCCGCGTAGGCGACCTAGTCGAATTCCTTTACTTGGTGTCGCGAAGGCAAACGCTCCTAAACCACCAACGACGACACACGGTAGAAATGACAGTAAGGATTCATTAAAATCACTCACAGCACGAGCGACGAGGGATTCTAGTCGGGACAGTTTAACGGGGAAAAATATCACCAAGACACGTGACACTAGTCGCGAGTCCCTAAACAAAAGTCTATCAAGAACGAGTAATGGATCGACAACTATGGGAATTAAGGAACCAACTGGCAAAGATTCTCTCAATAAATCATTGCCACGTAATAATTCCAATAAAGATTCATTGAGTAAGTCGTCAATTCTTTCAAGAACAAGAGACTCATTGGAGTCTAATCATCTTGGAAGTTCTTCACCTGTGACTCCCCCACGTCGTCCATCAGCTCCCGCACGTCGATCTCACAGTTTGGCCCGAGCCTCAGTTGATAATGACACCGGCAAGGTACGGCCCACAAAGCTATCCTTTTGGCAGCTGCTGAAGTCACCTCTGTCCAACGGTTCGACTTAGTGCGACAAACAAAATGCAATCGTCCTTTCTCTTTAGGGATATATAGTCGCTTCCTAACTTTAATAACTGAACGTACAATTGTCCATCCAGGGTCAGCCAAAAAAAAAATTAAATTAAACTAAAACTCACACCACTGACACACTCTTCCTTTCGCAGAGCGAGATTTCTCTAAATTGCGTGACATCCCGATAGTGAGTTTCTTCGAAACATTTGAATATTCCTCAAAATTTATTTATTATTCGACTGGAAATTAAATTTACCTTTGTTGAATTTTTGTTTGATAATTATTTTCTATCTTTTTAAATTTTTATCAAGTTTTTTACTAGGCAATTTCTCATTTGAGATTATGTGCAAGATAGAAAGCGCCACCATGATGAAGTGCGCAAACTCGTTCAGGCCAATTCTACAATACCTCCTTGCGCATTCTATTCTTTTAAATACTAAATTTTCCCATGGCATTCAATTTAGTTACAATTTTTTTTCAAGTATTTTACATTTATGAAATAATAAATTAAAAAAATCGTTGGAATAAACAAAAATTTTTGAATCTCTAATGTAAAAATTTTATTACATAAATACTGTCGTTCCGGTTTGACGACATTTTGAAAATTCGTGACATTTCTATAATAATTTTATTAGTTTACGGCGTCATGTAACCAATGTATACACAATTTGCCACGAACTAATAAAATTATTATAGAAGTGTCACGACTTTTCAAAATGTCGTCAAACCGGAAGGGCAGAATTTATGCAATTGCGTGTGTATATGAAAAATAAGTGAAAAAAATGCTTTGTAATTAAAATGTAATTTGGTTGAGGAGACTTTTAGTACCGATTGTGGTGGCGCTGCTAATCTTGAATAAAATTATTCTTACGGCGCTGCAATGTGGAAATTTATAAATAAAATCGTCTGCTATGCATTGGAGAGCTACAGCGCTACAACGTGATAATTTGTAACTAATAAACGTCGTCTGATATCTAATGCATAGCAGACGATTTTATTTAGTTAAATTTCCACATTGCAGCACTGTAACCACTTGTTCTATACAAGAAAATTTTTTATAGGTTATGTTGTCACTTACCGACACAATAATCGTCAATTAAAATGATTGAAATTTTGGTAAATTATAATTATTAGTCGAATATTAAAGCAGAATTTTGAGAATTATTAAAAATTTTGTGATAATAATATACCAAATTAGAATTTCCTTTTTTTTTAATAACGAAGAAATACGTTATCAGGAATCACGAATCTCTGGATTAAGGTCTCTTCTCTGCTTTACGTTATTACTCGCTCCACTGCCCTTCTTGTTACCAGTGCCTTTTAGTACGGAGGAATTGTGATTCTACGCATATTATTACAAGCTCGACAATTTTTTTTTCTTCTTACTTGACTCGACTCGACGCACACGCAAGTTTCTTTTTTCTCTCTTTTTTTATCGTAATGGTGCAAACAGAAGTTGATCCAAGTTAAAAAAATTTTATTAAAAAAATTTAAATTATTTGCCATTTAATATGAATTCTGATTAAGGTTAGTTTCCATTGTCCCCACTCGCTAAAATCTCTACTCGCCATTTGTCATAATTCTTGTCAACTACCGCACCCTGCTCTAGTAAAAATTAAAAGTTACTATAAAGTTACTAAATTTTTACCAGAGCAGGGTGCGGTAGTTGACGAGAATTATAACAAATGACGAATGGGGATTTTTGACGAGTGGGGACAATGGAAACGAACTTTAAGAAAAGTTTTTGTAATTTTCTTTATAAATTTTAATTCTCTATTTGTGCCATTATTTTTGGAAATAATTTTACACGCACAAATCGTAGAAGTTGTTTTTAATAATAATGAAAAATAATATTTATATCGTCTGCCCTTCACTGCACCAGGCTTGACTTGAATAATTATATTATTACACTGTAGTAGGCGTAAATTGAAGAGACTTTAGGGAATTGTATAAAACGACAAATGACAATTGTACTGCACAAATGAAAAAAATTGAAAAATCAAGTTGGTTAGCCGACAGATTGTTTCACTAGTTTTTTTTAGTTTTTTTTTTTTTTTTTTTTGTAAAACCACGAAACGAAACGACTCTATCATCCGCTACGAAAAAAAGTCTGATCTGGAGCGCAGGCGAGTGTGCGTTCGAGTCCAACATGGCCAACGAATTATGAAAATGGCCCCCTTCTCGCGTTCTTCGTCGGTCTCTCGTAAGTTATGCTTCTTTTATTATCATTTGCTTTTTTGATGCTTCTCTATTATGGATTGGTGAGCTTGATCCTGCGGTGGCCTCATCGTTCCTTGTAGTATTATTATTATTATTACTATTATTTAAATACCAAATACCTGTAGATTGCTAGTTTTTTCTTTGCCAAAAAATTTTTTGGCATGTGCATGCAACTTGTTTGGTCGTCGACAAATATTTTTTCTGGTAAGAATTATCAAGGTGCTTCCATAAAGGATTTAGTCTCTACGTTTTAAAATTTTCTTTTTTTTATAAAAATTGAATACCTAATTTATTAGTTTAGAGACTTTATCTTTTTTTTACGCTAATTTTTTTGATTGCTCATATAGTGTGTGACGTTTTATTTTGCTTTCAAAAAAAAAAAAAAAAACAATTATTTTCAAAACTGAAACAAATTCTGCTTTTGTTTCCTCTGGGCTGAAGAATTTTGTCGCTGAAAAATTATTAAGGTACTTCTACAATTGTGCGCTAGTGATGACCTAAAAAAAAATTAGATTGGCAATTCGATAAACCTGTATTTCAGGTGAAATTTAACGCAGAATAACTGAATAATGAAATTAAAAAGAAGATAGCAGTTGCTTTGTATTTTTTTTTAATCACATTTTTCAGTATAACGAGTTATTTTGCGTTGGCTGGCAACTATTGTAGAAACACCTTTAAAATATAATACAGAACTGCGCATGTCAATAAAAAAAGGGCGCGTTAATTTAAACTTACTTTTAAAAAATTGTTTATTTTAATTATATTTTCCATTAAATAAATTATTCCTAATTTTTTCTATTCAATTAGAATCTAAAAATTGATTATTCATTAATTCTGATTAATAAAAATTTATAATAAATTCTTTCATAATGATATTAATAATAATTAATTACATTTTTATGTTTATTATTGTAACTAAATCAAATTAATTTAATGGAAAATAGAATTAAAATTTTTAGTTAAATTATTTTTAACATAAATAATTTTAAATTATCGCGCGCTATTTTCGATCAATGAAAGAAGACCAATAAGACATGCGCAGTTTCGTTATTGAGTTTTATCTCGTTAGATTCTGCTGTGATTATTAAAAGAAACAAAAACGAAATTTGAAATAGAATTTTGCTTCCGGTATTTTGCACGAATTGCGATAAATTTTGACTACTTGTTATTAAGAAAATAATTTATAACGAAAATGTAGATAAATAATATTTATTAAAGTAGTTTTTGCATGACTTTTTTTTTTGAAGAAAAAAAAATTCGTAGAAACTCGTAATTCTTTATAACATTCTTAAAATTTTTTTTTTTTTGCCTTTTCAAAAACAAAATTTCAACTTTTTTGAAAAAAAAAATTTTTTCATCTCACTTGACACGTAAGATTTCCCCCCAATCACGTATTCACTTTCTTTTTAGTTTTAAGATAATCACAATTTTCACATTATTTAAATATTGTTTTGCGCATAATTCCTTTGTATATCGTCTTGCCTTGTTTTTCTTGCCATATGATTTTTTGGTATATATGTAAAGTTGTAAAAAAAAAAATATTTTAATCCATTTTGCTGAGATTTTTTTTCATATATATATATTATAATCTTATTTTAAAAAATTAAAATTATTGAAAATCGAAATTTAACTTTTCTAAATATTTTAAAAAATATTGAAAATTTTTTAAATTAAGGATTTTTCTTTTAAATTAATAAAAATTTTAATAAATCGATAATTTTTTGTTATTTAATTTTTTTTGGGAATATGTGAAATATTTTGCAGAAGCATTGCTTGAAAATTGTTATAAAATTAAAATGTTTATCAAGTAAAAATATTTAAAAATAAAAAATATTGCCCTGTCGATTGAAATATTTTACGAGCTTATTTTTTTTTTGTCTATATATTATAAAGCGTCACATTTTATGTTAATTTTGTTTAATTATTGACAAATCGAGATTTTTTAATTAAATTTATTTCTTAGAAAAGCAATATTCATCTCAAAAGGAATAAAATTGCAATATTCATATTATTTTTCTATAAAATTTTACACCACACTTACACAATTTTTTTCTATTGCAAGCAAATAATTTTTTTCACTTTTTTTTTTGTTGTTAAGTGAATTTATTTGAAAAAAAAAATTTTATATCTTTTAATTGAAAATTATTATGAAATTTGACACACAAAGGCACAATATTAATGTCTTTTTTAACAATGTTGATTTCCTGTGTATAATTAAATTTTATTTGCAATTTTATTTGCTCAAATATTTTATTAGTTGCAGAGTGTCAAAAAAAAAAAAAATCAAAACAGCGACCACCTATAAATAAAATTTTCAAGTAAAAAGAAAATTCTTTGTAAAAAAAAAAATAATAATCATCGACCTCGCACTTTCCCGCTTAGCATATATATATAAAATGTGTGAAATTTTTATCAGTGAAAGAATATTGCAGTAATTTTTGTTTTTCATATCAGAATATGTTTTAAAAAATCCAAATTAAAATTTGTCAAATAATTAAATAATTAATAATACAAATAGAAATAATAAACAATAAAAGAAATTGTAAAAAGTTAATTTTTAATTTAGTATTTTTTTTGAAGAAAGAATCGGACGAACAGTCGGAAAAAAAAGTTTCCCCGCATACAAAGCATTAAGTTTCGTGCCCGGTTAAATTGTCTGAAATTAAAATAGTATGTTATAGTTCATGTACACCTGAACAAAAAATGTAAATAGTAAAATTCCTAAAAATTACTAGTTTTTGAGATAAAAAAATGAAAATTGCTGTGTTCTAATTATTCTTATCTTTTTTTATTTTTTATCTCAAAAACTATTAATTTTTAGGAATTTTACGATTTACGTTTTTTTTGTTCAGGGGTATATAAACTATTTTAATTTTAGAAAATTTAACTGGGAGCGAAATTTAATACTTTATATGCGAGGTTCTTTTTAATTTTTATCCCATTGCAACGAAGTTTTAAAAATAAAATTACTCACATTTTTACTAAAAAAAACTATTTAAAATTATTTCATGTTTCTAAATATGAAAATTGTTGGAGTAATTTTTGTTTTGACTGTCCATCCAATTCTAAATGAAATCAAGTTACTAATTACAAAATCTAGATTTGAATTCTTCTTCTTTTATTCTTAATTGTCGGCTTTAAAAAAAAAAAACTTCACATATACAGAAGTTATATTTGCATTCAAATTTTCGCTATAAAATTGAATAAAAATTATTTTCCACAAAGCCTGTTGACGGTTACATAATAAAAAAATTTTTTTAAATTATTCATTGTCAAAAAAATTAAAGTATACTGAATTTTTTTAACAATTTTCTTTTTCAGGCCTATTCTGATGCACCAGATTCGTGGTGCTCGACAAGTGGCAGTTTCCATCACAGCGATACTTCTATATATCCAGATTCATTAAATCAGGAAACTTCATCGGTTACTGGATCAACGAGAGTTGAATTTATTATTGGTTCGCCAACGAGAAGATTTCGTCCAAATGCGCCATGGACACCGCGTTATTTTGATAGTATCGACTCAGCGGCAATTGCACTCGAAAGTCTTATGACCGACGAATTTCCACCTCGACATGGTGAAGCTTTAGCCGAATGCGATTCACTCGAACGTCATCCGATTTCTAGTGACGTGTGAATCAAATTTTTCTTTTTTTTGCGTCTGTACAGAAATTTTAATTTGAAAATTATATCGAAGAGTTTTTTTTTTCTATAAATTTTTTTCACTCTTTTTACCTGCAAACGAAATAAATCTGTGTCTTGAAACTTTGAGAAACGAAAGATTAAATAGAAAACAATGTCTCGAGACTAATTTTATGTTAAAATTAGGAGAAAATGGTTATTTTTCCAATAGAAAAATATAAAATGTCGGTAAAGTAGATTTCTGTATTTTGAATTTTTTTCAAGAATTTTCGAAATATATTTAAAATATATTTAAAATATTTAAATTATTGAAATAACTATAAATAAACAAGAAAAAAAATGAAAATATGAAAATTACAAAATTAAAAAAATAATATTTTAAAGCAGAAAAAAATTGCATAAATATTCTTCGTGAATTAATTTTATCAGATTATTATTAAATATTTAAATAGTAAAAAATTTTTAATACTTTTTTTAGTCGAATTTTAATGAAAAACCAAAATGGAATTAATTAATTATCATTTTAGCGCGGAGATTTCAAGAATGAGTTTGCTTAGCAAACTTTCCATTACTTGATATGCGATTAAAAAAAAAAAAATTTTTTTTAGTGATTAATTAACTTAATTGTCATTTGCGTCGTTTTTTTTTAATATGAACTTTTTTTTACTTCTGCAAACATCTGATTTATGACTTGTGCGGAGAAAAAAAAAACCCCCATACAAATGTCTGATCGATAAAGGGAATTATATTTCAGATAGAATTTCAACCGCAGAAATAATATTCTATTTTTCTTCATTGACTTTTTGGATTTTAATAATAAATTCTATGTCATATTTTTATAGTATCTTAATTGAAAAATTAAAAAAAATATATCAATTGAAAATTAAAAACAAAAATAAATTTTTTGGTAAAATAAAAATTTAATTATTTAAAAAAAAATTTTTTTTAATAATTTTTGAATAATTGACGTAGATAAAAAAAAACCCTTTAAGTAACTGAAGAGAATTTTTTTCTATATGAATAGAGAGAAAAAAAAGTTAAATATCAGTTGAAAACAAAAAGAAAAATTAAAAAAATATTCATTCCATGTTAAAAAAAAAAATTTAAACAAGTATTGCATTCCAAGAAGCATTTCTTGTATTACCTGCGTAAAAAAGAGAATTGTGATTTTATTGTTTTAATAATTTTATTGTATAAAAGTATCTAATATATTGTAGGATCGATAAAGAAATTTTAAAAAACCAAAATTTTCTCTAAATGTTGAGTTTAAAAATCTCTTTCATTTCTTTTTTTTTTTAAATAGTTAAGTGTGTTTGTGTGTTATTTCACCGATATTGATGCTTTGCTTTTAAATATTTTTACGTTATTTGTTGAAAAAAAAGAATCTCTATTAAGTGATTATTTTGTTAATTAAAATTTTATTACGGCTTCGTAATTTTATAGAAATACAAAAGAAAAAGAAATTAACATATCATGTGGACAAGTTAGAATTTTTTTTTTATTTTATTCGATAAACATTATTCGAATATTTTTTACTTTTTTTTTTTTTAGAAAATCGTGTTGTTTGTATATTTTTATTGCACCCTAATTCGTTAATTCTCTTTTTAAATATAAATATAGGTAAAATATTATATTTTTAAAAATTCTTTTATTGTGACTGTGATTTCTTCTAATTTCGACATTTCGTTTAAATACAAGTCGAAACATTTCGATTTAATCTCTTAGAAATATTTTTTTTTAATTTTCACTTATATTTCTTCAATTTTTTTATGTAAATTTTTTATCTAACAAGAATAAAATCACATGAACAATCAAAAATGAAAGAAAAATGATTTGCGATTTTTCTGAAAACTAGAATTAAAAAAAAATACGTAAAAAAAACAAATATTAAATCTATCAATTATTATAGTAATTTTGTTATTTATATTTTTCAAGTGCGAGAATTTGAGAATATAATTTAAATGTTTTTAATGAAAAAATTATTTTTTGTTGCAAAAAAATAATATAGAAAATGTAAATCACAAATTCTGAAATTCAGGAAATGTAAATAAATTTGTACAGTTTGTTTTCTCGATAAAAAATTGTTTTTTTTTTGTAAAATTTTCCCGCAAAACGATCGAAAAAAAATTATTTTGCGCTTCTATAATAATTATAAAATTGCAAACTTGTGATTAACGTAGATAAGTTAAATAGAACTGAAGGACATTACTTATTGCGTTAGTGCCTCTCATCTTTAACGCTGTGTAAACCAAACTGTAAAGCAGATGACGTACCAGTGGTTTTTTTTTTGCGTCCTGCTTTCTTTCTTTCTTTTATTATTTTTTCTTTTTTTGCTACATAAGGAATCGACACAAAGAAAAAAAATGCTCACATATTATAATTCATGCAGTCGGTGGACTCTAGTGCCCCTGCAGCGTATTTGCTGCCTGCTGGAGGCTATTATTTTTATACAATTAATATTATCATGTAAGACTTAAAAAATTATCGAGAAAGCAACAGGTGAGAGTGAAGAAAAAATAAAAAATGCTTTGCAAACCTATATTGGTTTCATTTAAGCGACGATTGTAGAATTGTCATCCATAGTGTCGTATATTCTAGACACTTTAGAATTAAAATTATATTTTTATTGTTTGATTGTTAATTTCAGCTAAACAATCATAAATATATACATATATATATATATAAAATTTGTACATATATAAATGAGCAGCGATGCAATTTTAATTGTAAATAGAAATTGTACCTATGTATAACGAAAATGCGATACCGTGATACACATAAATTACAATAAAGTAAAATTATGCAAAAATTGTTGTTATTTTCATTTCAATTTTTATTAAACAAGACCGGCTGTGCGCTTGTGCACGCGTGTTAATTTTTTGTAATTTAATAACATTAAATTTTGAATGAATCATAAAATTTATTTATTAATTTTAAATGTATAATTTTGTATATATATACATAATTTTTAACAATATTTTATGTTTGTTTACTTCCAAGAAAAATTTGAGAGATTCCCAAAACCGAATTCATGAAAATGCAACATATAATTGACCATGATTAAATATATCTTTGTGTAGAACATCTCAAAATAGTTTCAATTAAATATTACAATAACAAAGAAAAAGAATACAATACAATACACTTTTTTTGCCCAGTTCATAACTTCTTTAACACAAAAACTAAAATCACTGAAAAAATAGAAAAAATTATTTTTAATAGTGAAATTACTGTAATCACTGATAATTAGTTTCAAATGATCGCTCAAATTTTTACTCACCAAAAAAAATTATCATATATACTGAAATCACCATAACAATTAATTACAAACTAACACTCTCAATTTTTTCTCACCAACAAAAAATTATCTATCATGAATACTGAAAACACTATAATCACTAACAAATTAATTACAGAAAACTAAATTCTTAATTTTTTCTAACCACAAAAAATTATCCTGAATACTGAAAACACTGTAATCACTTACAATGAATAACAAACTGACACAAAAATACACAACTATTTCAGTAGTGCTATCATGTACCTACCGTCATCAAATGCACAGGCTCATCCCCTCTGTCATGTTTATTCTATTTATGCACCTTCATTTCTATAAATGTTCCAATTAAAAATAATGTTACTTAAATACAAATGGCTTTAAAAAAAAATAATTTATGCATATGTTGTATAAATTTATTTCTTTTTATCTTTCGTGATTATATAACCTGGAAACTATAATTGAATCAACATGATATGAACAAACAATGGTGAAAGCACACCTTAAAGAAAATATTTAAATCAAGATAGTTACCCAACCTTGACAAAAGCGAATTGCAATAATTTATAAGTTCATTTATATTTTTGATGGATTCACATCTTTATTTGTAAAATATTTATTTCAAAAAATGTTAGCTTTATGTTATTTAATGCTTCATGCAAAATATGTATTTTTTAAAAACTATTAAATTTTATTTTCAAATTAGAAAAATTAACATAAATAAAAATTAAGAAGAATGTGCAAAATAACCAATAAAGAAAGGTGTCTACACTTGATATCGTCAGTTTTGACCAATCACAATTCATAATTTTCAATTCTACCAATAAACACACGATTGTAAATAGGATTTTAATAAATACATAATTTATTATAATTATTGAACAAACATTAAATCGTAATTTACTCGAAATATTGATCTCTAGGTTTTGATTGAGTTTAATTTAAAGTTAGATTTGATTTGTTAAATTCTGAATAAGAGAAGGAGAGTGATCCTTAGTGAACAGTCCTAGTAATTTGCAGATGAAAACATTCCACTGAAATAAGGATAAAATTTAAAGAAAACAATGTACTTAGAGAAATAAAAATGTTCGTAAATATTTTAAATAGCTCTTAACTTACTATTTATTTCGCCAAAACCTGAGATAAGGCAGTCAGGTAACACACCTAAATAATGTTGAAGTTTTATGATTTTGTCTAGATAGATGTCGGGTCTCTGGATTTATTAATTCTCGCCAAAAGTTGTGTAATGATTTCAATAATTTATCTCAAATTATAATAGTTTGTCAATTAATAATAAATTTAGTAATTCATTTTAAAATATTCCAAGTTATAATAAAAATAATACGTCATTAGGACAAAAGGTTTTATAATATATTGAACGAAAATTCGTCTAGTACAGAATAATTATTCGAGTTCAGCTTGCAAAGTTTCATATAATAAATTAAAGACAAAATTCAATTCGTTCGCATACTAATTGTCACTGCACAACAAATGCGATTGCACGCTAGACATTTATGATTAAATTAGATCTCAACAGATGATATCGATAAGGATGATCTGGTTGGTCATCGGAATCAGAGTTCCTCTTAAAAGTCCTCGAGGTGAGAGACAATGTGGTGAAAAAAGTTAAGCTTCAAATAATTTTTGAAGTTGGAAATAAATACTCAACTGGTGAAAACCGTCTCAATATTCTTGGATTCGCGCCAAAAGACACGCCAGTCACAAATGCAAAATGATTCCTGTGCACAATCGAAAGGTGATTTTTTTACGAGAAAAGTGGAAAATCTGCATAATCTTTAGTATCCAAGGCAGATACGTGGAGCCCAGTGCTCCGAGGTTATGTGGGGATGAGCGTTCTTGTTCTGTTCGACCAAATAAAAACCACACCTTTTGGCTGGACTAATACTCACACTACGGAACTATCGTCAAGCTTTAAACTTCGTAGGCGAAGGTTCCTGGGATCTCGCTATAGCGACCCATGCCCTTGCCGATCTTACTGGCCTACTTAGCTTTGGTTCTTGAGAGTGTCTTCTTGGCTTCCTGGACGGTTGACCTAAAGACTCTGCATGCTCCACTTCCAGCGACGTGGTTGAGAGGAACCTTGTCGCCGGACTTTGTTTTGCACAAGAAGCAACTGGGGCTGCTCTTACAATCTGCAAACTTATGATCGGCTTCCCCACACTTAAAGCACGCAGACGATCTGTCTGCTTTCTTGCAGCTTCTTGCTAGATGGCCGTAATCCAGGCATCGGTGACACCGAGCGACCATGACTCTCTTTCTTATTTGGCAGCACATAAAGCCAATCTTTATAAGCCCCAATTCCTGCAGTCTGGTAGCCTCTTCTTGGTCGGTGACAAAAACTGCGAGCTTCATCCCTCTCTTGTCTAAGATTGACACCTTCTTATTTCCTAGCTTTGCGAGTTCTTGTTATCGCTCTTTCTGGACTTCTGCCTCATGGGTAAGGAAATCCTGGTCGCAGATCTCGAGTATAACGTTCCGATCCACCGTCTGCACTTTACCTATGCTGCCAACAGCCTTGATCACCTCGGCGGTAAAAGCTACCTTGACCGAGTCACCTCCGACCCTGATCAAGAGGTCTTCCTTTTTAGTGGGCCTAGCCCCCAAGACTCTCGTGTGGCTTATGTCAGGATTAACTTTATTCCTCAATGGAGGTGCATCCTCATTTTTCTTTCTTACTTCGGTTTTTGTCTCTTCCATACTGCCGGTACTTTGTTTCTTCTTTTGATCCTCCATGACCGCGCGTCGAAGACGTTTCTCATGGATACGCTCTTTCTTGTTGTCCGGTCCTCCTGGTTGCATGCTGCAAAACTTAAAGCGGAGTTTAATTTCACATCCCCTTTATCACCTTCTGCGTGCTTCTGCTTCGCCAAATTTACAAGGTCCTGAAAAACTTTTAGTCCATCCTTGATCGTTTGATTAACGTTCTTCTAGATGTCGCAAGATTTTACCATCTTGAGGATCTCCTCTTCAATCCTCAGAAGGAACTCAGATTCTTCCATCCTCAAACTGACTCATATATCGCGTTCCTCGTTGATGGTCTCGTTGTCTAGGACAGAGTGAATCAAACTTCTTCCGCTGCTGACACTCAAAACGCTTGAAGCACTTTCTCTTTTACTTCCAAGTCTTTCCAAACGGACCTGGAGAACCGTAAGAAACTGGATGCCTTTATTGTCCATCCTTCTTGTGGCATTGAATGCTACAGCACCTAAGATGTCCAATACTGCAGCACTGTTGTCACTGGATTTCGGCGCTGGGAAGCCAACTTTCTCACCTCCAGCAGCGCCGGCACTGGAGTATCTCTCCCCTGCACCGTAAACGTCCTTATTCAATCCTTTGTTTTCCATATATATATTTCTCCCCACTTTACATCTTGGTTTTTTGGAGTCCTTTAGTGAAAAGCCCCAACACCAATCTATGGTTTCTTACCTGAAAAAATGGAGAATTTATATTTAATAACAATATTGCATTCTGATTTCTCCAGCATGTTCGCCTCTTCTTAATCAGTCCATAACTTCCTTAAAAATAATTTTCATCAAAAATTAAAATATCTATTATTTCTTTTATAAAGAACGATTTCAGCAGAAGTTGAATTAACTAGAATTTAATCGGTCGAATTTAAAACAGATTCAGCTTACAAACATAATTTAACATAACGATAAGTAAAAATTACAAATTTTAAGAATCTCAAAATCTTTACTATTCTAATAATAAGGAAGTAAAGTCCAAGGAAAACTTTAAGCGACTGACTATATACTATTCTGGAGACAAAAATCAACTTATATCCTTTTCCGTATACATAAATCGTTAAAAATAATTGCCACTGTTTTGCTGGGGTGTACAAGTTTATTATAAATTCATAAGTACCGCAGTTCCTATTTCTAACATGTAATTATATTTAATTATCGTCTATTAGTCGTAAGATTCGAATATTAAAAATTCTCCTCATGGCAGTCATTTTACAAGGAAGGTTTAGCTGTAAATATATAGAATATATCATGTAAAGAACTTAACGAGTAAAATCTAATCGAAACTATTCTTCCTTTTCCTTGTTGTTTTTTATTTTCATTTGAGTTCAATAGCTAAAATATTTACAAAAAAGTGTTATGATAATAAATGGAAAATTTTAAAGTTGCTAAATCTTCGTTAAAGACAATGTCTTATTTTGGAGGCTGGAGACCAACATTTTTAAAATCACTTTGGGCTATTCGACTTTATAATTTTTACAGTATTGTCGTGTTATTATATAATTTTCTCTTTGTCATATCATTTCTAATTAATCTTTATCAAAATAAACACAGTCCAGATGTTTTTACAAAGGATATAGTTTTCTTTACAACAACGTTTTTAATAACGTTAAAATTAGCATATCTAAACATTCACAGACAAGATCTCATTATTCTATTGAATTTATTTATGCAAAAACATTATCTTCCTTGTAATAATAAAGAAATTGTCATTTATAAAAATTTTCAATATAAAGAAAGGTTAGTCATATGCTATGTATTGTAAAAGCATATTTTATAATATAACTAGCTAAAAGAAACGCGCGTGATATCTATAATTTTTTTTATGCAAAATTAAAAATTTATTTTTATTTGACGAAAAGTTATTGGAATTTTGATCTCACAAAATTAATAATGTTAATTTTGAAATCGTTATTGTATTGTTATTTCAACATTATGGTATTATAATATAATATAACATAATAATTTAGTTAATTTGTAAATATAATCTATGCATAGCTTTTGGTGGACATACATAACGTGTGTTTAAATAATGTTCAATTTCATAATATTGAACTTTCTGATTATCATCTTTATAACCTATTATAGCTCACTTAATTTGACCTTCCAATTTTGTACTCAAATAAAGATTATATGCTACGATCATCGAATTGTCAGCAACACATTTAAATGACCCATGTTAGGATCTATGCAGGGTGAATTCCTATTTTGTTTACCGCAAGGCCGATGAACTTGAAATTGCTTTACAATGTTAAAAAGTTCTCGAATCTTTATTTCGTCTGGGATTTCAGCACATATCATTTTTTTAAACTTTTTGCATTGCAAATTTGTGTACGTAAAAATATAATTAAACGCACATGTGGCAATCCACGCTTTTTTCTTCTCTATGAAAAACGATACATAAAATTGTACACTGAGAAAAATGTTTAGTCAGAGCAACCAAAATTTGGTTAGGCTAACAAAAAAATTTTTAAGGTATTTAAGCAACCAAACTATTTGCTTGAGTCAACCAAAAAATTTGGTTGAGTGTTTTTTGTTCGCATAACAAAAATGTTTGGTTAGCTCAACCAAATTTTTTTTGTTAGGTCAACAAAAATGTTTAGTTGATCAAACATACATTTTTTTTGTAAAAATAAAAATTTTAATCTACCTTATTTCTTTACTTTTTATCTTTTTTAATTAATTTCATTATTTATTTATTATCAAATTAACATTGAATTTATATTTATCCAATTGAAAAATTTGTGGACTTTGAAAAATCTCATTTCCGCCTGGGATCAAACCTCTGTTTTAAAACTGAAGATCGGGAGCTCTGACCACTGGACTACACATCCTTGTGAAAGATTTAAACTAACTGTTCTCTTAAGCTATAAGCTGAGAGCGATTTAAATTATTTGGTTGTCGCAACCAAATTTTGGTTAGGACAACAAACGATCAATTCTTTTTTTAGAACAAACTATTTTGTTGTGTTAACCAAATTATTTTGTTGTAATAAACAAAATTTGTCTGGAATTTAAAAATGTCCCACAAAATAATTTTGTTTCATTTGTTTTTCATTTATTGGTTGAGATAACTCTACGAATTTGTTTCAGCCAACCAAACTTTGGTTACAAGAACCAGCTTAATAGGTGGTTATAAGAGTCTTCCTCTACTCGGATCGGGCTATCAATCAATTTTTATGGTTTTGGTTGTCATTTAGGTGGTAATATGTGTCTTCTTCTACTCGTATTTGGCTGTCAATTTTTTTCTACACATTTAGGAGTATTTTGTGCACGAATTTGCATTAAAATCGTCTGCCTAAGAAAAATTGAATTTTTTTGGCAACTTTTTTATGATTTTGGATTTCTGGGTTGGATGACTTTTTGGTGGTAATAGGTGTCTTCCTCTACTCGTATTTGGCTGTCAATTTTTTTCTACACTTTTATGAGTATTTTGTGCAAGAATTTGCATTAAAATCTTCTGCCTAAGTAAAATTGAATTTTTTTGGGAACTTTTTTATGATTTTGGATTTATGGGTTGGATGACTTTTTGGTGGTAATAGGTGTCTTCCTCTACTCGTATTTGGCTGTCAATTTTTTTCTACATATTTATGAGTATTTTGTGCAAGAATTTGCATTAAAATCTTCTGCCTAAGTAAAATTGAATTTTTTTGGGAACTTTTTTATGATTTTGGATTTATGGGTTGGATGACTTTTTGGTGGTAATAGGTGTCTTCCTCTACTCGTATTTGGCTGTCAATTTTTTTCTACATATTTATGAGTATTTTGTGCAAGAATTTGCATTAAAATCTTCTGCCTAAGTAAAATTGAATTTTTTTGGGAACTTTTTTATGATTTTGGATTTATGGGTTGGATGACTTTTTGGTGGTAATAGGTGTCTTCCTCTACTCGTATTTGGCTGTCAATTTTTTTCTACATATTTATGAGTATTTTGTGCAAGAATTTGCATTAAAATCTTCTGCCTAAGTAAAATTGAATTTTTTTGGGAACTTTTTTATAATTTTGGATTTATGGGTTGGATGACTTTTTGGTGGTAATAGGTGTCTTCCTCTACTCGTATTTGGCTGTCAATTTTTTTCTACATATTTATGAGTATTTTGTGCAAGAATTTGTATTAAAATCTTCTGCCTAAGTAAAATTGAATTTTTTTGGGAACTTTTTTATGATTTTGGATTTATGGGTTGGATGACTTTTTGGTGGTAATAGGTGTCTTCCTCTACTCGTATTTGGCTGTCAATTTTTTTCTACATATTTATGAGTATTTTGTGCAAGAATTTGCATTAAAATCTTCTGCCTAAGTAAAATTGAATTTTTTTGGGAACTTTTTTATAATTTTGGATTTATGGGTTGGATGACTTTTTGGTGGTAATAGGTGTCTTCCTCTACTCGTATTTGGCTGTCAATTTTTTTCTACATATTTATGAGTATTTTGTGCAAGAATTTGCATTAAAATCTTCTGCCTAAGTAAAATTGAATTTTTTTGGGAACTTTTTTATAATTTTGGATTTATGGGTTGGATGACTTTTTGGTGGTAATAGGTGTCTTCCTCTACTCGTATTTGGCTGTCAATTTTTTTCTACATATTTATGAGTATTTTGTGCAAGAATTTGCATTAAAATCTTCTGCCTAAGTAAAATTGAATTTTTTTGGGAACTTTTTTATAATTTTGGATTTATGGGTTGGATGACTTTTTGGTGGTAATAGGTGTCTTCCTCTACTCGTATTTGGCTGTCAATTTTTTTCTACATATTTATGAGTATTTTGTGCAAGAATTTGCATTAAAATCTTCTGCCTAAGTAAAATTGAATTTTTTTGGGAACTTTTTTATAATTTTGGATTTATGGGTTGGATAACTTTTTGGTGGTAATAGGTGTCTTCCTCTACTCGTATTTGGCTGTCAATTTTTTTCTACATATTTATGAATATTTTGTGCAAGAATTTGTATTAAAATCTTCTGCCTAAGTAAAATTGAATTTTTTTGGGAACTTTTTTATAATTTTGGATTTATGGGTTGGATGACTTTTTGGTGGTAATAGGTGTCTTCCTCTACTCGTATTTGGCTGTCAATTTTTTTCTACATATTTATGAGTATTTTGTGCAAGAATTTGCATTAAAATCTTCTGCCTAAGTAAAATTGAATTTTTTTGGGAACTTTTTTATGATTTTGGATTTATGGGTTGGATGACTTTTTGGTGGTAATAGGTGTCTTCCTCTACTCGTATTTGGCTGTCAATTTTTTTCTACACTATTTAGGAGTATTTTGTGCAAGAATTTGCATTAAAATCTTCTGCCTAAGTAAAATTGAATTTTTTTGGAACTTTTTTATGATTTTGGATTTATGGGTTGGATGACTTTTTGGTGGTAATAGGTGTCTTCCTCTACTCGTATTTGGCTGTCAATTTTTTTCTACATATTTATGAGTATTTTGTGCAAGAATTTGCAATAAAATCTTCTGCCTAAGTAAAATTGAATTTTTTTGGGAACTTTTTTATGATTTTGGATTTATGGGTTGGATGACTTTTTGGTGGTAATAGGTGTCTTCCTCTACTCGTATTTGGCTGTCAATTTTTTTCTACATATTTATGAGTATTTTGTGCAAGAATTTGCATTAAAATCTTCTGCCTAAGTAAAATTGAATTTTTTTGGGAACTTTTTTATGATTTTGGATTTATGGGTTGGATGA